TTATGCTTGTGCAAGTTGTATGAATGGAGGTTCTCTCAGCATGGCCAGGAAGCATGCATAAGGAACAGCATCTAATTGGACATATATAGCCTAAGTACATACAGTTATTTAATGTATTTATTTGGGCAATAACTAGCCTGTTTTTCTCTACTCAATATGGATGTTACAATATCACACACACATAACCAGAAAAAACAAATATGTAAACCCAGGTTAACAGATCTGCCTACTATCAATAAACTAATTCTCCTCCCTGTGTATTAGTTCATTGATTATAAGTACATGTGTTATCCTGAGTTTAAATATTTGTGTTTTTCTGGTTGCATTTTTCTGGTTGTGTTTTCTGTTTAGGAAGAACAGGTGATAACAGCTCTTCCCTTGATGGGAAATAAAATTGTATCTTAAAGGAAAAGTAATATGGCCTACTTTTTCTTTAAGATATATTCCATATGTTCAGTAGCAAATGCAAATATGTCACCTAAAAAGTGATAGTGAAAGTGGAACAGACACAAACACTGTTACAAATTTGCATGCCAGCATGTATAACATCAGCTTATGCCAGAAAATCCAATTCATTTTAATATCCAATATGACAGGTGAATAAAGCACATGGTGGGGGGTGGGGGATCACGATGGTAAATCCTGCCCCCCAGCCTACAGTCAGTACACTTGTTGGATATAGCCTGTAGTCACACAGTCCGTACAGTCATAGGCTCTTCTTACAAAGTCAACTGGATGAGAATCTCCCTACATGAGTTCAACTGGGGATTGTTTCAACCTCCCATTGCATTTCTTTTTAGGTCAGTACATTCATAAGCCTTTCCCTTGAAGCCTCAGAATAGAGGTGGGAAATGCACAATGAGTGTTTCCCTATGTACGAATGTACACTAAACATGAAAATTAACATGAAAGAAAAGGCTAGGCTATAACTTTTTCCCCTGGCATCTAATTTTCTATTTGCAGTGACTTTGAGGAACATTCATCACGTGATCTGTCATCTGAAATTTGAAATCAAATATTACATTTTACAACAGGGTCCATTGTCTTAAGCAGGGCTCTTTTTGTAGAAAAAGCCCAGCAGGAACTCATTAGCATAATAGGCCACACCCAACAGCAGGAACTCATTAGCATATTGGGCCACACCCCTGACAGCACAGCACATTAGCACGTTAGGCCGCACCCCCATATTACCAGAAGTGTGGCTATCCAGCCACACCCACCTTTTGCTTGTTATTCTGTTTACCCTGTTTGTTGTCAAAACCCAGGGCCTTTTTTTGTAGCAGGAACTCCTTTGCATGTTAGGCCACACACCTAATGTAGCCAATCCTAATGAGTTTCTGCTGTTGGGTGTGGCCTATGATGCTAATGAGTTCCTGCTGTTGGGTGTGGCCTATGATGCTAATGAGTTCCTGCTGTTGGGTGTGGCCTATGATGCTAATGAGTTCCTGCTGGGCGTGGCCAACTTGGGAGCCAGCCGGAACTCCGTTCCTATGTGTTCTTGCCCAAAAATAGCCCTGGTCTTAAGGTATCTCTAACTTACAAAAGCATCTTATTTAGCTTATTTGAACAAATGAAATGAAAGAAAATCTACTTATTCTCGTTTTCTTTTCTTTATTTGATGTGTGTGTCCCTCCTTTGCCTTTAAAAGCCTTTGCTTCCTCGGGAAGCTCCCTTTCAGAAATGCTACACTATCTGTAAATGGCTAAGTTCATTGTTCTGGTAATGCTACCAAATTAGCTGATGAAGCAAAAGAAACAGTTGGCCATAAAACTAACTGCGAACACAAAAGATCCTGGCAAATTTCACAAGTGTGAATTCACTGCAGAAACAAATTAATATTAATGGAAAAATCTGGGCTGCATTCCCCTGACTGTACTTGGCCCATTTTACAGAAGTCTCCCCCCCCCTTCAAATTGCAAAATAACTGCTCTCTCCCACAGAATAAGTATTAAGTTTTGTGATGTATGTTAAAATGCTATTAATCAAATATAAACATCAGGACTAGATTCCTTCCAGATGACCAAACATTGTGGTGGGATTCCCAGCAGTGAAGATATCCCCTGCTAATCTCATTGAGCGCTTTTTTCTTCCTCCCCGGGAACTCATCTTTCTCACTGTAAGTATGTAAAAGGTCATATGTTTCCACAGACTCACTGCCAAATATACTTAGAAAGAAAGGGGTTTTTGGAGTCTCTCCTGGTCTCTCTTTCAAGTTGCTCTTATTTTCCTTTTACTGAACAAAAAGTCACAGAACTCTGCTGTAAGTCAGTGCTGAGGTAGCTGAATTTCTGCTTTTTTGTTCTCTGTTATTCTGCTTGCTTAAACAGAACCTGAATGCTAGACATCAGGCTGTGCTGATGTAGACAGGGGTGTAACAGGCCGGATTAACCCCCCGGCCAGAGTAACCCCAGGTTAATCTGGCCGGCTGTAACAGGCCAGATTCACCCCTCGGCCAGAGTAACCCCGGGGTTACTCTGGCCTAGGGGGAGGTTGGCATCTGTGCTCGCCTAGAGCGCAGGACCACCTCGGGTCGGCCCTGGTTGGTGGGTGGAGGCCTCAAATGCAGCAGGGGGTGGGGTTGGAGCAGAGGGCCAGTTTGAATCGCTCCCGCCTCCCCCGTTCTGTGGCAGCACTGGAAACAAAGACAAACGGAGGCGAGCTCTGGATTCTTTCATTAGAGAAATAAAAAAATTTTTATTGTGTGTATTTAAGAAAGTTTCACACAGGAGAAGAACTTCTGCAGCCCGATCTGGGGCCACACTCACTCCCTTCGCACAGCATATTATGTCACGCGATAAATAATACATTTGCATAAATAGTTTCATAATTTAAGCATCGTTATTTCAAGAATTTAAATAGGACAATTACAAAAAAATCCATCGACTATTAAATAAATAAATAGAGCACTCGTCCCGGATGCAAACAAGGCACGGAATACTGGCTGCTCCGAAGGGAAGGGTCTGGGCTCAGACTGTGGTCTTTGGCATCTAATCGGGAACGATCTGTCCCGGGAACGTCTCCTTTTACGCAAACAGGGGAGGGTGGCAGAATTGCCAGGCTCCCGAGATAAATGGGTCAGGAGTGCTGGTCTGAGAACTACTTTGAGTTCCGTTTGTTCTGCAGTTTTCTTAGCTGCCTTGAGTCTCAAGTAGGTGAGGTGGGGATATAAATACCTTTGAATAAATAATTTAAAAAATACATTGCTAAAACTAGACCAGGACTTCAAGGGGGGGGCGGCGGGGCGGAAGGAACCCCACTCCATGGCGAGCAAAAATTAAAAAAAACATTTCATGAACAAACTCTGCTCAAGTGCCTTATAGAACTGGCTTGCCGTCGGTTCACACTGTGGTTTAGGTGTTTGCCCTTCCAAATATCGAAACGGCACAGGCCTGTTTCCGTGAACAGACACGACGGACCGGACCCTCCGTCCATCAAGGTCAATATTGTCGACGGAGGTCTTTTGCGTCACCTCCTGCCTGGAGGTGGAGCACAGGCTCTTCCACTGAGCCACAGACCCGCAACTAACTTGTATGGAGCGAGGGGCCAAGATCCAAGAATGTCTAGTCTTGAGACCCTATCGCTGCTCTTCCGGACTCACAAATCTCTCCGCCAGCTCCTTCCAGTGTGTGGGAGGGCTTTGACCCAACTTCCCCCACTCAAGAGAAGCAGCCGGGTGAGAGAGTTGGCCCAGGGCTTGTCCTGTGCCAGCCTCTTACAGGGCATGATGGCACTGAGCTGGCATTGCAACCACAAGCAAAAGTATTTGCCTTGGTGGTGCAGCACTGGAGAGCGGACTCCTAGGGCCGGACTCTGCCACTTCCAGTGCCCACCTCTGCCCTGGTGCAGTTCGCTGGGAAGTTTGGAGTCAGCCGCACACTGGCATCAAAACTCCTCCAGCCAATGGCGCTGGCATGGCAGGATTGGCTGGACATCGCCTGCACGCCGATGAGCAACCACGCCGCAGGGTCCGAGCCACAGGCTGATGTGATGGTTCACCCAGGAGGGGCCGGTTGGCCGACACAGAGGAAGGGAAGTCGCAGGCCGGCCCAGTGATGAAAACACTGCACGGCGCATCCAGCAAAGGGAATAAATTAACACCCTCGGAAATCTCACCGCTGGGAATAAATACTATAAATACAACTCAATAAATAAATACTTTGCAGGCACGTCCATGGGGCCAACTGAGCTCCAGCACCCCTCGTCCACCCACGACTGGCCCACCGCTTGGCCTAGCGAAGGCAGGAATGGCCCTGAGCGGTGCTGAGTCCCCATCCCTTGCGCACCCTCAATAGGTCCAACATCTACCGGGTTGAGCAGAGAAGCAGAGAAGGGTCCCCCAGCAAGCGAGGAGATGGAGTATGAATCAAGGGGGCTGCCCCGTGGAAATGCCGTGTTTGGGGGGAAGGGCGGAGGAGAGACAGGCCCCACAGGGCACACAGTCCAGTGGGGAAGTTCCCCCACCCCACCTGGGCACCATCCCAACTGCAGAGCAGCACGGTCTCGTGTAACGTTCGTTTCGGGGGGGGGGCTGAACCGGAGAATGCTGCCAAGAATCAGGTCCTCCGACAACATCAACCGACTTGGGCTTGTGGAGGTGGCTCTCTCATACCCGAGGAGAGAAATGTAGAGGGACACGCAGGCCCGTTTTTCACAGGTCGCTTTGGAGAAATGGCCCCCAGGGGTCACCGGGACCACCCAGTCCCGAGAAAAGGGGCTGTAGGCTTTAGAAAAAAGCTTTCATCCAAGGTGGGGGTGAGCATTCTCAGTGCCTCGGAAATGCTTCCCCGTCCCGTGGTGGTGGGCCACGGCTGCCGGGAGGAAACCACGGCCCCCTTTTCTAGGACCCCCGAGGGCCGCCGGTTGAAATGAACAAGAGCTGTAGAACAAATACAATACTGGGGGGTGGGGGGGTAATACAGTGTCCGGTCAAACAGATGGGGGGGGGATTTGGACGTTGCCGTTGTGACTGCAGTGGCTTGAAGTGAAGAGGCGGCGGAGGCCCTCTCAGCTGCTGGAGTCGGACTGGGGCAAGACGCAGGTGCAGGCCACGGGGACCTTGATGTAGTCCACCTCCAAGGTGAAGCTGGTGGCTCCGGTGTTGTGCGGGCAGGGCTTGCGGCGCAGCACCATCATCTCTTGGAAGACGGGCACCGAGTTGAGGGAGATGGTTTCCCGGCCCGTCTTGACATCGATGCAGCCTCTGCAGAGGCAATACGCGAAGGCCAGCCGGCGCGGGTAGCGGTTCTCGTCTTCGTTGACTCTGTGGCGAGGGAAAAGACAGGTGAGGTGGAGTCGGGTCTCCGGGCTGCTTTTGTGTGGGCTAAAACATCACCCCTCCCGGTCCTTTGGGCAGAGGTGTTGGCCAAGGGGTGGGCTGGGGGTGGAGGAGTCTCATCCCTTTACGACATCCGCCTCTACCAAAATGTCCCCTAAAAATTAGACCTGGTGGCCAAGGCCCAGATATGCCTCGAAGAGCGCTACGCTCAAAAGAGCAACACCTCCTGGCGGTCCCTGGCCCGAAGAACGCCCGTCTCGCCTCAACCAGGGCCAGGGCTTTCTCTGTCCTGGCCCCACCCTGGTGCAACAGGCTCCCTATTGAGACGGGGGCCCCGCGGGATCTCCTTCCATTCTTCAGGGCCTGCGAGACGGAGCTCTTCCACCCGGCCTTTGGTTGAGGCAGTGGGTGGCCTCCCTGAGGTTGCTGCCACCCGTCCATTTACTGGCCACCGATAACTGGCCTTTGATTTGCTTACTGGCCACCGATAACTGGCCTTTGATTCGCTGCACCATCGGGCCAGGACTTTATAGCTAACTGACGCTGTTTCAAGCTTTAATTGTTAGGATGTTTCATCGTGTTTTAAATTGAAATTGTATATTATAATGACCGCTCGCGGGATGGGCAGGATATAAATGCTGAGGCACCCTGCAAAACCTTTCCTGGCGCCTGCCAAGGGTGTTTCGATTAGAAAGTGAGGAGGACCTGGTGGGGCTTTTGCCCAGCCAGGCATCTGATTGGCCGTCGGAGATTTGATGGGCTGTGCAGGTTTTTAAAGACATGGCTTTGGCAAAAGCTGCCCCCACAACATAAGGATCTTCCCTGTGTGACTGAAGGTCAGCTGCGACAGCCATTTTGTCGTCAGCTTCAACTCCTCCGGCAGCCATTTTGTGATTGCGTCCACCATGGTGTGTCAGCAGGCACCCGCAAATTCAAAAAGGTTGGGGACCCCAAAGTTGCTCTAACTTTGATATGCAAGCTTTTCTTTTCTGTTTTTTTTTTTAAGAGGCCCTAAACTGTAGTGTACTTTTAGCTTGTACATCAATCTGGCTCTTTCGCATTAGGACACCCTACAGAGAGGTGGACCAAAGCCAAAAACCCACCAGAGAAGAAAAGGCTGAGCAGGGGTGCGAGAGAAATTAGGGGCATTTGGAACAGACCTCCCCAAGCCCAGAGGGAATCACATGGGGTGTGAGATTAGAACCCAGGACTTTCTTTGGCTGGCGGTTGCTCCAGTGTTGGCTCCTCTCAGGGATCCCCAAACTTTCTGAACCTGCGGGCACCTTTGGAATTATGACACAGCGTGGTGGGTGCAACCACAAATCAGCTGCCACAAATGGGTGCACATTCCAAGGGAGTCGTTACCGGCTAAATATCAGGAGAAACTTCCTAACTGTAAGGGTGGTTGAGCAGTGGAACAGTCTGCCTTGGGAGGTGGTGGATGCTCCTTCGCTGGACATTTTCAAGTGGAGGCTGGACGACCAGCTTTTGGGTATGTTGTAGGTATGTAGGGCTCTCTTTCAGCTGTGCTCCTGCAGAGTGCAGGGGGTTGGACTAGATGACCTGCTAGGTCCCTTCCAACTCTAACATTCTATGATTCTCTGAGGGGAAGAGCCGATGGCTGACGCAGCTGACTTTCAGTCACATGATAAAGATTACATCTCCAATGGCCAATAAGAAGCCTTGCTGGGTGTTATGTACTGTGGTTGGAACAACCCAGGACTGTCTACCAGAGGCTGGCTGAGCTTGGAGCGCTAGAACAACAGCTCACCAGGACTCTGGAGGGGACCAATGAGAAACCAAGTTCTGTAAATAGCCTATCGTTGGGAGTTGGGTGCCCAGTATTTAACACTGGGCAAAAGCCCCACTTGGCCCTGACCCCTGGCCTATCTCGTCAGTCTGCCAAAGCCACGTGCCCCCCCCCTTTCCTCTCTCCCCTCCTTACTCGTGGCTCCAGGGCGAGATGGACCGTTCGTGGACGCTGCTGTGCGGCACGTTCTGGAGCTGCAGAGCCGAGCAGTTGTAGCCCAGCTGCCTCCGCTGCCTCCGCCCCTCAGACGACTCCTTTCCCAGGTACGGAACCAGCAGGACGGCGCTGTGACGGTCCCACCGCCTCGACCTGCTGAGGAACTCGATGGGCACCTGCCCCGCCGGCACGTCCTCCGGGTTGAAGCAGTGCGGGTGGTGGCGGTGCTGCCGTCTGGCCTCCGCCCAGGCGAGGACAAGGAACGCGAGCAGGAGAAGTGTCCTCTGGATGGCGGGGGGAGAAAGAGACAGAGAGGCCTTGGGCATTAGGGGAGGAGTTCCAGTTAAGCAGAAGTCATTTGTTTGTCTCATTTGTACACCCCACCTGTCTCCCCATAGGGACCCAAGCAGCTTATGCCATTCTCCGGTCAGTTTGGTGTCGTGGTTAAGTGCAGCGGACTCTAATCTGGGAGAACTGGGGTGGATTCCCCATTACTCCACTTGCAGCCAGCTGGATGACCTTGGCCCAGTCACAGCTCTCTCAGAGCTGTTCTCTCAAGGACAGTTCTGGAAAGAGCTCTCTCAGCCCCACCTACCCCACCGTGTGCGTCTGTTGTGGGGAGGGGAAGGGGAAGGAGTCTGTAAGCCGCTCTGAGACTCCCTTGGGTAGTGAAAGGCCAGGGGTATAAATCCAATCTCTTCTCCCCTCCTCCTCCTCCATTTTATCCTCATGACAACCATCAGGGGGTGTGAGTGCCCCTAGGTCACCCGGTGAGTTTCCATGGCACAAGTGCGGATTCGAACCCGGGCCTCCCAGATCATTCAACACTGAGGCACAACATCAAAACGGTCAAACCGTACGTCCGAATGGCAATTTCAGGAAACAACGTTCTTGAGCCAAAGGCAGTAACGGAGCCCGCTTGAGGGGAATGGTTAAGATCCGAGAGAGGCAGGCTCAGATCCCCACTCGGCCGTGGCAGCTCGCAGGGCAATTGTGGGCCAGTCAGTGACTGACTCAGTCAACACTCACCCTGACCTACCATGCAGGGTTGTTGTGAGGGGGAAATGAAGGTGGGGAGAACAATGTCGTAACTTGCTTCGGTGAAGGGCACATATTACTACGTCGACAAATAAAGTGTATAGGAAACACACACACCCTTTTAAAAGAAGACAGTTAAATTAATTGGTATCCAGAATACGAAATGTTATTTCCAATTGGAATTAAAGGGAAAGAAGACTCGAATGTTGGCAGGTGAGTTCCAGTTACAAGGGGTGGTTTCCTGATTTAGTTTAGATAAAGTTTTAAAAAATCAGCGACCGAAAAAAAAAATCAGTCTAAAACCATGCTAAACACACACAGCCTTATAGTCCCCTAGCTCTGAACGCACTTTCTGGCCGGCAGATCCACTTTGATTCGAATAGAATACATTGTGGGTGGCATGCTGATGGTCTCCACTTTGAAAACAGAGAAGGCAAATACTGTGAAGAGTAGATTCCAGTGGGTAGCCATGTTGGTCTGAAGCAACAGGACAACGTTTGAGTCCAGGGGCCGGGGCCGGCTCGCCCGCTAGGCGAACTAGGCCTTCGCCTAGAGTGCGAGCCGGACGTTAGGGCGCAGAAGGAGAGGCAGGGGCGGCCACCAACACGCCCGGCCAGCAGCTGGGAGGAGCGCCGGGGCTGGGAGGAGCTCTGCCGGCTGCAGGAGGAGGACGCACGGTGGCGTGGCCAGGGCGCGGCACTGTAGCTGGCCGGAGGAGGAGCAAGTGAGGGGGCGGAGGTGGAGGCAGGGGTGGCCGCTGGCGCTCCTGGCCAGCACCCCCCCCCGCGTTGCCTTTCTCAGCCTCTCCTGCCCGGCGGGGGCGGGAGGGAGGGAGGGGCATTCCCTGTTAAGGAAGC